CTGCTGCTCCCGCTGCTGCTGCTGCTCCCGCTGCTGCTGCTGCTGCTGCTGCTGCTGCTGCTGGCAGCAGCAGCAGCAGCCTCCTTGGCCATGGCCAAAACCCGCAAAGACTGCTCGAAAGAGGCCCGGCGGTCCCGCACGAAAGGACTCAGCCGCGGGACCGTTTCGACGTTGTGGGCGAACACGTCCAGCCCGCTGCAGGCCACTTTTTCCACGGACTGCACGCACAAACCCTAAACCCTAAACCCTAAATTAGGGTTTGGCCCCACTGACGCCCCCACACTCCGCAACACCCGCAACAGCACCCAAACGCCCCAGCACGCCAGCTACAGCCACGCAAGAAGCACCAACGCTTCTCACGGCGCCCCGAGGGTTTAGGGTTTAGGGTTTAGGGTTTAGGGTTTAGGGTTTGGCTACCGAGCGCATGCCCTGGAAGTCCGAGACGAGACACTCCACCAGAATGCCCGGCTTCTTCTCCTTTATTAGCTGCACAGTCCTGGCGAAGTGTTCCGCGCCGCCGTCCGGCATATCGTCCCTGAACCCAAACCCTAAACCCTAAACCCTAAACCCTAAACCCTAAACCCTAACCCCGCTTCGAGCTCCGCCCCCTCCAGCCCAAACCCTAGTCGCGCTGCAGCAAAACGCCACCGGCTGCTCCCCGCTGCTCCGCGCCCCCGGCGCCAGCAGCCAACCCCTCGAAAGGGCTCAGAGGTTAGGGTTTAGGGTTTAGGGTTTAGGGTTTAGGGTTTGCCTGTCCACGCTGGTCAACACCACGTAGTCAATGTCCCACTGGGCAACGGCCTCCGCCACCTTCTCGGGCTCCATCGGGTCTGGGGGCGGCGGTTTCGAGGAGGTTTTGATGGCGCAAAACCTGCGCCAAACCCTAAACCCTAAACCCTAAACCCTAAACCCTAAACCCTAGCTGGGCCCTGGGCGCAAACCCCGGGGGCGGACGCTCGGGCTGCGGCGCCCAATTTGCTGCTGCAGCGAACAAACTGGCGCCAAGCCAAGGAGGCGGCACTTCGCCGCTGCCGCCTAGGGTTAAGGGTTTAGGGTTTAGGGTTTAGGGTTTAGGGTTTACTTGCAGCCCCTGGTGCAGGTGTCGCCCAGCAGCATCAAAGTCGCAGTGCCTCCTTCCCAGCACTCGCCGATGTTGGGGCACTTGGCTTCTTCGCACACCTACGCGCAAACCCTAAACCCTAAACCCTAAACCCTAAACCCTAAACCCTAAACCCTGCTGCCAGCGCCAAACCTCCGCCAAGCCCCGCGAAGCCCTGAAGCCGCACCGCCCGCGGCCGCGCCGCGGCTTGCCGCCGCCGCAGGACCCAAGCCCTAGAGCTTAGGGTTTAGGGTTTAGGGTTTAGGGTTTAGGGTTTAGGGTTTACGGTGTGCAGCTTGAGACCCTTCAGCTGCTGCTTCAGCAGCGCGTAGCGAGAGCCGGGGCCCCGCGGCGCGGGCACGTGGAACCAGTCGGGGCGGGGCCCCGCAGTGGAGGGCCCCACACGGGGGATTTGTGGGGTGTTTGCTGCTGCTGCTGCTGCTGCTGCTGCTGCTGCTGCTGCTGCTGGAGCTGCTGCTGCTGCGTCGCTGCTCTCCGCCGGCCCGCTGCTGCTGCAGCGGCCCGAGCTGCTGCAGACGCCCTCGCTGCCGACCTGCTTCGCTTCTCCCCCTGTGAAGCAGCAGTTCCCGAACAGACGCGTGCGCCTTGCTGCTGCTGCTGCTGCTGCTGCTGCTGCTGCTGCTGCTTCTGGCGTTGCCCTTGTCTTTGGACCGTTCTGCTGCACTGTGGGGTGCTGCAGCTTGCTGCTGGTCGTTTGCCGCAGCGCACCCGCATGAAGGAATCCAGCAGTTTGCTGCTGCCGCGGCTCTGCAGCAGCAGCAGCAGCTGCTGCTGCTGCTGCTGCTGCTGCTGAGGCGGGCACAGTGTGCAAGGAGTTTGAGCTTCTGCCGGAAGCCAAAGTGCCTGTTTTCTGCTGCAGTGAATGAGCCGACACGGGAGCCTGCTGCAGCAGCAGCAGCTGCAGCAGCAGCAGCAGCAGCAGCGCTGCCCCGCGCTGCCGCCTCTGTCTTCTGGGCTTAGACATGGTCAAACGTGAAGCGCTGGCACTGCAGCAGGCGCCACAGCGCGCGGTGCAGCAGCAGCTGCTGCTGCTGCTGTTGCTGCTGCTGTCGCTGGGGGGCAAGGAAGAAGAGGCCATCTTTGGCTGCGGCTGCTGCTGCTGCTGGCGATGCCGCTGCTGCAGCAGCTGCTGCAGCAGCAAATGCAGAAACCGCTATCTTGCGGTGTTTACACAGCCTTCTTAAAGCCCTTTGTGTATTCTAGCGCCCCCTAAGAAACGCTGTAGGCAGGGGCCCCAGCAGCAGCCCCTCTTGCTGCTGCTGCTGTCTCAGCTGCTGCTGCAGCAGCAGCAGCAGCAGGAGCAGCAGGGATCGGTCACTCGACCACTCCTCCCGCTGCTGCAGCAGCAGCGGCTTGCGTGTTATTTTGCTGTTTTAAATCCTTAAATAGTTTAATAATACTTAATGGCAGCAAATTGTTTGAGCAGCAAGGTAAAACGTGCTATGCTGCTGCTTGGTGGCGCTGCTTCGGCGGTAGCTTAGCAGCAGCGGCAGCAGCAGCAGCAGCAGCTGCTGCTGGTGGGACCTGCTGCTCCAGATCGATCCTTCCGGGCTTCCATCTGTGAAAGCCGCCCGACAAAAGATTTGGCCCTTTTATTGCTTGTACATTTGGGCCAGCAGCAGCAGCAGCAGCTGCTGCAGGTCGCTCGCAGCAGCATCTTCTAGAGCTCTGGCACTGCCGTATACGTGGCAGCAGCAGCAACAGGCACTGCAGCAGCGCCTGCTGCAGCAACAGCTACAGCTTTAGAGGCAGCAGCAGCATGCTAAGAAGCCCTAGCAGCAACGCAGGAAGGTAGATAGGCGGGAAAATGTTCATTGTGTGGCGGCAGCAGCTGCTGCTGCCACTGCTGTTGTTGCTGCTGCTGCAGCAACGACAGCCAGCAGCAGCAGCAGAAGTGGAGGAGGAAGAGGAAGACCACGAAGCTGGCATCCCTTTCATTGCTGAGGATTGGCCGGGACTGACTGCTGGCCCAGCAGCAGCAGCAGCAGCAGCTGCTGCTGCAGCAGCAGAGCAGCGCCAAAGCCCGGGCTCGCTGTCGCCGCCCACGGCTTCTGGGACCCCCTCCGCAGCAAACAGCCGCAGCAGCAGCACGCGAAGCAACCGCAGCAGCAGCAGCAACAAGAGCGGCGGCGCGGGCGGGGGGAAGGCGGGCAGCGAGGCGGGCTCTGCTGGCAGCAGCAGCAGCAGCAGCAGCAGCAAGAAGGACTGGGAGCCGCACAGCCTGCAGCAGCCAGCAGCAGCAGCACTGAAGCTGCAGCTAAGAGACACAGCTGTCACCAAGAAGCAAGTGGAGCGGCTGCGGCGGGAAAAGAAGCAGCAGCAGCTGCAGCGGGAAGACACGGAGCTGCAGCAGACACAGGAAAATGTAGCAGCAAAATTTGGCCCTGAAACGGAGATTGCAGAAAGAGCTGCAGCAGTTTATAAACCCAATAAGTTCAAAAAGTGGATTAAAATCATTTATTATGTCCTCAACAACGGGGGAAAAATGCCAGAAGACGGGCTTTTCGACGATGTCTGACTGCTGCTGCTGCTGCTGCAGCAGCAGCTGCTGCTGCTGCAGCAGCAGCTGCAGCCGCTGCAGCAGCAGCTGCAGCCGCTGCAGCAGCAGCTGCTGCTGCAGCAGCAGGTGCTGCCGCTGCAGCAGCAGCTGCTGCAGCAGCAGCAGCAGCTGCTGCAGCGGCACTGTAGTGGCAATGCCCGTAGATATGTGTGCTGCTGCCCAAAAAGCGGCAGCAGCAGCAACGCGTGCTGCAACAGCAATGCCTGCGCAGCAGCACGACCTGCTGCACAGCGGCAGCTGCTGCTGCAACAGCAGCAGCAGAGGGCCCCGCTGCAGCAGCAATGGCAGCACTTTCGCAGCAGCGGCTGCAGCAAAACGCGTGCTGGTGCAGCAGCAGCAGCAGCAGCAGCAGCAGAGAACACGGCAGCCGCTGCTGAAGCGGCTGCCTGCTGCTGCAGCCTCCTTCTTGTGTCTCGCGCTGCTGCTGCTGCTGCAGCAGCAGCAAAGTGCAGCAGCCCTAGCGCCCCATAGGTTTTGAAGCAGAGCGCACATTGAGCAGCAGCAACAGCAGCAGCTGCTTCCGCTGCTGCTCCTCGCTGGCCCACGACCACTCAGCGACGAGAGCAGCAGCAACAGCAACAGCAGCAGCAACAGCAGCAGCAGCAGCAGCAGCTGCTGCTGCTGCTGCTGATTTCGTCCTTCCTGCGGCAAGCAGCTACGGAAGGTTTTCTAATTTACAAATTGTAGCTATTTATTTTCTGTCAACTCGAAGATCTATTCTTAGCCAAACCCTCGCTAAACCCTAAACCCTAGCGAAACCCTAAACCCTAGCAAAACCCTAAACCCTAGCAAAACCCTAAACCCTAGCTCAAGCCCAGCGAAACTCCAAGCCCTAGCTAGAGCCTAAACCCTGGCGAAACCCTAAACACTAGCTGAGGCCCAAACCCTAGCTAAACCCTAAACCCTAGCTAAACCGTAAACCCTAGCTAAACCGTAAACCCTAGCTAAACCCTAAACCCTAGCTGAAGCCTAGCGGAACTCTAAACACTAGCTAAATGCCCAAACCCTAAATAAACCCTAAACCCTAGCTAAACCCTAAACCCCCGCAACGCTCACGCCAAACCCTTTTGCTCAACTCCTTGTGGCTGGCGCTGAAGACGCAGCTTCCAGCCGCAGCAACTCAAACCCTAAACCCTAAACCCTAAACCCTAAACCCTAGACGCGGGCAAAGCAGGTCTTGCCCATCACATCCTTCACCCGCAACCAGTCCCACAGCAGCAAAGCTGCTCCCAAAGCATCACACGCCACGCAGCCGCAGCAGCAGCAGCACAGCTAAAGCTGCTGCGGCGCGAAATTGCTGCTGAAGGGGAATAGGCGCTGAAGCTGCGGGGTGTACATACACCTGAGAAGGACTGCAGCAGCAGCCGCTGCTGCTGCTGCTGCCTCCTGCGCCGTTCGGAAGCAGCAGCAGTGGCATGGAGCCGCGAACTCGCTGCTGCTAGTGCATGCAGCAGCAGCTGCTGCTGTGGGGAGTTGCGGTGTATGTACACCTCAAGCAGCTGACACAGATACACCAGACGCAGCCCGTAAAGACCCTCTGGGGGCAGCTCTCGGGCGCAGTGCCCGCTGCAGCGCACAGCAGCAGCAGCAGCAGCAGCAGCAGCAGCAGCAGCATTAGCGGCAGCGGCACTAGTACCTGCTCTGCTTCAGCCCCCAGGAAGCTGGAGGTTCGGCAGCAGCAGCAGCAGCAGCAGCACAGGTTAAGCAGAAGCATCATACGGGGCAGCAGCAAAGATGAGCACAAGCAGCAGCAGCAGCAGCAGCAGCAGCAGCAAATTTGTTCCCTACGTGAAGAACCCCTCAATTGTAAAAAGCAAAACAATGCCAATGCCGTCCACTGTGAAGTGCTGCTGCTGCTGCTGCTGATGCTGCAGCAGCTGCTGCAGCCGCTGCAGCCGCTTCCTGCTCTCCTCTACCAGCACCCCCAGCTCCCTGCTGCATGCAGCAGCAGCATCACCAGCAGCAGCGGCGGGACTGGCCGCTGCAGCAGCAGCGCCTTCACCCTGTTGCTGCTCTTTGTGCTGCTGCTGCTGCTGCTGCTGCTGCTGCTCTTCTTCGTCAGGCATATCTCCATCATTCGACAGAGGCAGCAGCACCGTCATGCGCAGCTGCAGCTCCCACTCGTTGCTAGCTTCCAGCGCCTGCAGCAGCAGCAACAGCGGTGCAGCAGCAGCAACAGCGGTGCAGCAGCAGCAACTTCCACTGCAGCAGTGGAAACGCCTCAGGCACGCAGACCCCCAGGGAAGAAGCAGCAGTAACAGCAGCAGCAGCAGCAGCAGCGGCAGCAGCAGCAACTGCTCGTACCCCCAAGCAGGAGAGCCCCCTTCGAGACCGCAGCAGAAGCGCGAATGTATCTGCCAGTTGCTGCTGCTGCTGCTGCTGCTGCTGCACCTGCACGAAGGCCCCCAGGCAGTCTACTACAGTGTAGGTACACCGTATTTGTGGGCACGTCGCGCTGCTGGTGTTGCTGCTGCTGCTGCTGCTGCTGCTGCTGCTGCTGCTGCTGCCAGGCCCGTGGGTAAGCGTAAAAACGATTAGGAAGCTGCATACACAGCAGCAGCAGCAGCAGCAGCAGCAGCAGCAAAGCATGAGCTAGCTGGTTCTTGGTATCGCTAGCGAGGGTTTAGGGCTGAAGCTAGGGTTTAGACACTAGGGTTTTGCTGCTGAAAATTAGGGTTTAAACCCTTACGCCACTCCATCGCCATACACCGGGACAACCAGCGTGGCTTCGTGCTGCTGCTGCTGCTGCTGTTGCTGCTGCTGCTGCTGCTGCTTCTGTCGCCTCTGCATGCGGTTAACAAGACGCTGAAGATGAGTTTCCTGCAGCAGCACAGCAGCAGCAAGAGGACAGCCGCTCCACCTTAAGAGTTGGCCCTAGGGTTTAGGGTTTGAGTCTGCAGGGTTTAGGGTTTGAGCCCTCGGGTTTGGGGGCTAGGGTTTAGGGTTTAGGGTTGAGGGTTTTAGGGTTTAGGGTTTAGCCCTACAGCATCTCGAGCCTTCTGCAGCAATTCGTTTTGGCTGCTGCTGAGCTTCTGCAGCTCCCTGGCGGCCATGGGCAGCGCTTCGAGGCAGTACACAAGAGGACCCTGCAGCAGCAACAGCAGCAGCAGCAGCAGCAGCAGCAGCAGCAGTTGACAGCAATGCCTTTAGCAGCAGCACGAGCTGCACTCGCCACAATGCAAGCAGCTGCAGAAAGCGGCAACAGGCAGCCGCACAAACAGCGCAGCAAGCAGCAGCAGCAGCAGCAGCAGCAGCAGCAGCAGCAACAGCAGCAGCCGAAAAATTTACTGGTTGAGGCTCTGCTGCTGCATCAGCAGCAGCAGCGGCAGGACCCTGCAAATCTAGGGCATTGAAGGTCGCAATGAGGGAGTTTATGGCCTGCGCAAACAGCAGCAGCAGCAGCAGCAGCAGCAGCAGCAGCAGCAGCAGCGACAGTGGAGCCAACGAATAGAGTGAACGTGCACCTCCTGCTGCTGGAAGCAGTAACAGCAGCAGCAGCAACAGCAGCAGCAGCAACAGCAGCAGCAGCAACAGCAGCAAGACGTACGCCGAGGGTAGGCGACTCTCCTGGCAGCAAAGACAGCAACGCCTGCAGCAGATGCGGATAGGCGCGAAGACCCGACAAATCTGGAGCTACTGCTGCTGCTCCTGTTGTTGTTGCTGCTGCTGCTGCTGCTGCTGCTGTCGTTTCTGCAGCTGCTGCTGTCGTTGCTGCTGCTGCTGCTGCTGCTGCGGAGTCATCAGCAGCAGGCAGCAGGGCAGCAACGGTTCCCTGCGGGACGCCTAAGATATCTTGCCACCGCAGGCTCTGCCTTGTTGCTGCTGCTGCTTCTGCAGCCGTTGCTGCTGCTGCTGCTGCTGCTGTTGCTGCTTCGTCAGCAGCAAGAACAGCAGCATCGCCATCATTTGCTGCTGCCTCATGGTCCGGTGCTGCAGCGGTGGAGGCGCAAGATACGCCTCCGGCTGTATCTTCGTCATTGCTGTTATTGCTGTTGCTGCTGTTGCTGCTGCTGCTGCTGCTGCTGCTGCTGCTGTTGCCGCTGTTGCCGCTGCTGCCAACACTGCTGCAGCAACCGGTGCTGCTGGTGCTGGGGCTGCTGCACGAGCTCAGGCGCCGCTGCCCAGTTCCTATGGATTCCTTGTGCTGCTGCTGCTGCTGCTGCTGCTGCTGCTGCTGCGCCTTAACAGCAAAAGCCTCTTGTGCTGCTTCATCTCCTTTCGCAGCATCTGACGGTGCCGCTGCAGCAGTTGCTGCAGCAGTAGCTGCGGCATTGGCTGCAGCTTTAGCAGCAGTATTTGTCTGCTGCAGCAGCAGCCGGAGAGACTCCTCTACTGCCTCCTGCTGCTGCTCCACTTGCTGCAGCAGCAGCACAAGCTGATTACCATATTCCTGCTGCTGCAGCAGTTGCTGCAGGCGCTGCCCTTGCTGCAACTGCTGCTGCTGCAGAGGCTCATGTTCCTGAGACTCTTGCACCAGCAGCAACTGGTTTGCTGCTGAAACTGCAGCAGCAACTGCTTCCTCGCGCTGCAGCAGCAGCGGCGCATGCAGAGAAATGAACCGCCCACCCAACTGTGTAGTTAGATGCTGCTGCTGCTGCTGCTGCTGCTGCTGCTGCTGCTGCTCGGACTGACAACGCCGTTCCTCACAGGTTTGGTCCGCATTGGGGCCTCTTTGAGTACTTCCCTCTTGCTCCTGCTGCTGCTGCTGCTGCTGCTGCTGCTGTTTCTGCTGCTGCAGCATCCGCTCGTAGTGCTGCTGCAGCAGCTGCAGCTCCTTCTCATCTCCAAAGGCAGCAGCAAGACGACGCAGCGAAAGGCGCGCTCGGTGCAGCGAGAAGCCGTGGCGGCTGCAGCGGTGCAGCAGCTGCTGCTGCTGCAAGTGCAGCAGCAACAGCTGCTGCTGCTGCCCCTCCAAAGCAACGCCCGTGTCTGCCACAGCAGCAGCAGCAGCAGCTGCTGCTGCTGCTGGAGATCCAGAATCCTGCCAGCGTGGCTGTGCCTGGAGGCCGTTTGCCTGCAGCGCCTGCCACTTCTCGTGCTGTTGCTGCTGCTGCTGCAGCAGCAGCAGTTGCTGCTGCCGCTGATCCTGCTGCAGCGCAAGAGCAGCAGCAGGATCTGTGCGACTTTGCTTCCGCTTTGGGGGCGGCTGCACTTCAAGAAACCTTTTAAGGGAGCAGACTGAGGGCGTCCGAGATGCAGCACGCTGCTGCTGCTGCTGCTGCTGCTGCTGCTGCTGCTGCTGCTGCTGCTGTGGGCTGCGCTGCCCATCTTCAGCGCCTGCTGCTGCTGCTGCTGCTGCTGCTGCTGCTGCTGCTGGCGCAGGGCTCGCCCGCAGCAAATTCCGCGCCAGCTGCCGGCCAAAACCCAGCAGAGAATGCCCAGCAGCAGACGCGCGTGTCAGCAGGCCGCCAGGATCAATTTGCTGCTGTTGCTGCTGCTGCTGCTGCTGCTGCTGCTGCTGTTCCTGTGCATCGTGGCGAGAAGGAAACAAGTGCTGCTGCATCTGCTGCATCTGCTGCATCTGCTGCTGCTGCGACTGCTGCTGCTGCCTCTGTTGCTGAATCTGCTGCTGCTGCAGTTGCTGCAGCTGCTGCAGCTGCTGCTTCCTCTCCCAGCGCGTGGATGCAGCAGAAGCAGAGCCTTGTGGTGCTGAGCGGCAGCTGCTGCTGCAGCTGCGGCGGCGGTGCGCCGCCTGCTGCAGCAGCAGCTGCTGCTCCGATGCCACGCGCAGCGAGAAATCAGCAGCAGCAGCAGCAGCAGCAGGTTGTGCCGCAGCAGCAGCAGTGGAAGGATCCCTGTATAGTAGCGGATGAGACAGGCCCTGCCGCTCTTCCTGCTGCTGCTGCTGCTGCTGCAGCAGCTCATGCAGAGAAGACGCCACAGCAGCAACATCCGAAGCAGCAGCAGCGCTAGTGAGCAGGCGAGTTACAGGACACCGGACATCCTGCTGCTGCTGCTGTTGCTGCTGCTGCTGCTGCTGCTGCAGGCCTTGGCGCTGCGCGCCCGCGCTTGCCGAGGGCCTCGGGTGTACATACAGCTGCGGCTGCAGCCTGCCCCTGTAAGCGCCGGTCGAGGGTCGGCGCTGTGCTGCAGCAGCAGCAGCAGCAGCAGGTCCCGAAGCAAAGAGTGCAGCAGCAGCAGCAGCAGCAGCAGGCCCGCTGCCGCTGCTGCTGCTGCTGCGCGCCCACGGCACCTGCAGCGAGGGGCCGACGCCCCCCGTAAAGGCTGACGCCGACAAGATCCTGCGGGCGGAGCAACTGCTGCTGCTGCTGCTGCTGCTGCTGCTGCTGCTGCTTCTCTGCAGCCCAGGCTGCACTGTGTTTGCTGCTGCTGCTGACGCTGCTGACTGAGGAGACGCAAGCGGTGCAGCCAGCGTCACGTTGGAGCCCAGCGAAGGCCCCGGGGGCAGCAGCAGCTGCTGCTGCTGCTGTTGCTGCTGTTGCTGCTGTTGCTGCTGCTGCTGCTGTTGCACGCGTTGCTGCTGCTGCTGCTGCAGCACAGACGGCCGCAGCCTCAGGGGCTGCGGCCGCTGCTGCCACACCGTCTTCTGTGGGAGCTCTTCATCCATTGCTGCCGCTGCTGCTGCTGGCGCTGCTGCTGCTGCGAGGCCGCGCCGTTGTTAGCTTGCACGTGCTGCAGCTGCCACACTGCTGCTGCTGCTGCTGCTGCTGCCTGCCGCAGTCGGCCCCCTCAGAGGCTGCCCTTGCGGCTGTCTCGGCAGCAGCCACGCCCTGCGGTGTACGTACACCTCGCAAGGTTTGCAGAGCTGGGCGTTTCCGTGCTCCCAGAAAAATAGGCAGGAGGCTTCGCAGCAAAAGCAGCAGTTGCTGCTGCTGTTGCTGCAGCAGCAGCTGAGTGCATGCGCGCTGCTGCTGCTGCTGCTGCTGCGGGGTCGTTTGCTGCGCGCGCATGCAGTCGCCAGCCGGCTACTGCTGCTGCAGCAACGAGTCAGGAAGCCAAAGTTCCTATATGAGGCGGCGGCAGCATATTTGGGGGGATGGGCGCAAAGGCGCAGCTGGCGGCTCTGCTGCTGCTGCTGCTGCATGCGGCGGCAGCAGCAGCAGAAGCTTCTGCAGCAGCAGTGCTCTCCCGTCGCCCCAGCGCTGCTGCTTGTCCTGCGTCCCCCAGTTCATAAATAGAATATAAAATGAAAATGGAGCTGCTTCAGCTCCTTTGAGGGGTGCTGCATGCGCAGACGCCACTGGCTCGGCCCCGTTGCTGCTGCTGCAGCACAACAACCCCACCCCTCAGCAGCAGCAGCAGCAGCAGCAGCAGCAGCTAGCGCCCACCAGTAGAACCCAGCGCTCTCAGCGCTGCAGCCCCTTCTAAGGGCTCTGCTGCCTCTGCGGCGTTCTGGCGCCAGCGGGTGGGAACTTGCTGCGGCGGGGCTGGTGTGGGGCAAGTTCCCAGCTGCTGCTGCTGCCAATGTTGCTGCTGCTGCTGCTGCTGCTGCTGCTGCTGCTGCAGCAAGCTGCTGCTGTACTGCCCTCACGCAGCGGCCCAAGCAGCCCCAAAGCTAGCCTGTCCCGGGCCCTACTCCTAAGGGCTAATGCCCATGCTGCCAAGCAGCAACTGCAGTTAGAAGGCCCCCAGGGCCTTTAGTGCAGCAGCAGCAGCAGCAGCAGCAGCAGCAGCAGCAACTAGGTCTTTGATGACGCTGCAGCGCGAATTCCCTGAAGGGCAAGCACTGCCGCCTCAGCTAGCTGTTACATCCGATCCCGTAGCTAGCCAACTATTTAGCTGCTGCACCTTTTGCTAGCTAGCTAGCCGGCTGGCTAGCTAGCTAGCTAACTGGCTAGCTAGCTAGCTGTTGCTGCCCCGCCCCGCAAAGGCACTGAATCCTAGAGCCACTAAGCCAATACGCTCCCCAGTAAGTTGCTGCCTAAAGTCAGTACTAGGGTTTAGGGTTTAGGGTTTAGGGTTTAGGTCTTGGCGAACGAAGTAACTTAGCGGTCATGTTCGCTTGGCTACGTGCTGCCCTCAAATCTACTGCTGCTGCTGCTGCTGCTGCTGCTGCTGCTGCTGCTGCGGCAAGCAGGCGCGGGTGGCTTCGCATATGCAGGCGGCAGCAACACTTGCTGCAGCGGCTCGGCCAAAAACAAGTTGCTTCAAATGGCTAGCTAGTCAGCCAGCCCTTGGCTAGCTCTAGCTAGTTCGCTAAGCAGCTAGCTAGGCGGGCAGGGACGCCCTTGGCTAGCTAGCTAGCTAGCTAGCTAGCTAGCTGGTTGGCTAGCTAGCTGGTTGGCTAGCTGGCTAGCTAGCGGGGCAAGCTAGCTACCTCAGCGGGTCGACTAGCTAGCTCGCCCGGCGAACAACAGCTTCTAGCTAGCTAGCTAGATCCTTAGCTAGCTAGCCAACTACCTAGTGCAGCTACCTAGCTAGCTAGCTAGCTAGCTACTGCAGTTGCCTAGCTAGCTAGCTAGTGCAGCTACCTAGCCAGCTAGCTAGCTACCTAGCCAGCTAGCTACCTACCTAGCCAGCTAGCTAGCTACCTAGCCAGCTAGCTAGCTACCTAGCCAGCTAGCTAGCTGGCTAGCTATCCAGCTGGCTGGCTAGCTGGCTAGCTAGCTAGCTGGCTAGCTGGCTAGCTAGCCGGCTAGGCAAGGAGTTCCTCGAGCCCGTCGGCGTCGGCGAAAGGGGTGCCGCCGAGGGCCCTGCGCTCCAGCTGCAGCCGGAGCTGTTTTGTCTTCTTATCGCCGCGGCTCTTTTTGCTGCTGCTGCTGCTCTCCTCCTCTTCCTCTTCTTCCTCCTCCTCTTCTGCTGCTGCTGCTGCTGCTGCTGCGTCGCTGTCCTCGCCAGACTCTGAGGCCTCAGCAAAAGAGTCTTCAGAATCTTCCAGACTTTCTTCCTCGCTTTCGCCGCCCCCGAGCTGGCGGGCCTGCTGCGCCAGGAAGGCGTCCACCTGCGCAGGCGCGGCCCGCAGCAGCAGCAGCAGCAGCAATGCAGCAGCAGCAGCAGCAGCAGCAGCAGCAGCAGCAGCAGCGAAAGCGGCGCCCATACAGCGGCAGATGGAGGGGCGCGCACGCCGCAGAAGCAGTAGCAACAGCAGCAGGCACACAGCAGCAGCAGCGGCAGTGCCCATGCAGCAGAAGCAGCACAAGCAGCGGGGCCCAGCTAGCAGCAGCAGCAGCAACAGCAGCAGCGGTGGCAGCAACTGCTGCGCAGAGTTGTAGAAGTCAGGGGGGCAGCAACGCCCGCCGCAGCAGCAAAGCGGCACTTGCACATGAGCAAGCCTTCTGTCAAGCACTCCAGCAGCTGCCGTAACAGCAGCGGCGCAAACTGCAGCAGCAGCAGCAGCAGCAGCAGCAACAGCAGCAGCAGCAGCAGCAGCAGCAGCGTGCTTCCGACCTCGTCGTCGCTGAAGGCTTCGTCTTCTTCTACTTCCTCTGCCGAGGCCTCCGCGTCGCTGTCACTTCCTCCTGCCTCGTCAGCTGCAGCAGCAGCACGGCGCCGTTTGTGCTGCAGCTGCCCAGCAGCAACTACGCGGTCCTGTGCACAGCAGCAGCAGCAGCAGCAGCAGCAAGGCGGCAAGAGCATTTTCCCCAAGGCCTCATCCAGAAGGCCGCGTTCAGGAAGACGCGGCAGCAGCAGCAGCAGCAGCAGCAAGGCGGCAGCAGGAGCAAACGTAGCAATAGCAGACAGCATCACAGCAGTGGCAGCAGCAGCAGCAGCAGCAAACAGCAGCAGCTGCTGCCTACAAGGAAGTACTGCCGGATAAATTCCCTCTCTGGGTCGGCTTCGTGGCGTTGCCAGTAGCGGGTAGAGTTTAGAGAGATGCGCTGGCCTTCTTGCTGCTGCTGCTGCTGCTCCTCGTGCTGCTGCTTTTGGTGCCGCCGTTTCTGCTGCTGCTGCTTTTGCTGCTGCTGCGGGGCCTTGTAGGCCAAGTCGTCGAGGACTCCTGAGTTTGTGACGGAGCGCAGCGTCTGCACAATTGCTGCCTCATCAACTGCAGTCGGGTCTAAATCCCCGTTGCTGCTGCTGCTGCTGCTGCTGCTGCTGCCTGCTTTGCTGCTGTAAGCAGCAACTAGCCTAGCAGCAGAAGAAGCCACCCGCGGGTGGTAGCTTGCTGCGCAGGCCAGCACTTCCCACAGCCGCGTCTCCGCCGCCTGAAAGTAGTGAAGACAAGACATAAGCCACTGCTGCTGCTGCTGCTGCTGCTGCTGCTGCTATGTTGCGGCTGCCGCCGCTGCTACTATTGCTGCTGCTGCTGGTGCTGCAGCACGGCAGGACAGATGCAGGCTGATGGAGCGGAAAATGAAAAAGCTATTGCCCCAGAGGCATAGAAAAGTAAGAGCAGCAGAGCAGACAAAAGAGGCAGCAGAAGCAGAAGCAAACACGGCAGCAGCAGCAGCTCTTTTGCTGCCCCCTGCGTACGTACTCGCGTGAAGCGGGGGTCTCTCTTTTCGGGTGTATAGACACAAGGAGCCTCAGCTCCTGCTGCTGCTGCTGCTGCTTCATCTTGAGGCTGGGAAGCCTCGAGAGAGTCGTCGTCGTCTGGGGCATCCTGCAGCAGCAGCAGCAGCAGCAGCAGCAGCAAAGTTATTCACGTCCGAGCCGCTGGGAGGGAAGCAGGCGTTCGCCTCCTAGCTGCTGCTGCTGCTGCACCTCACTGCTGCTGCTGTACTCACTGCCACGATCTCGTCCGTTTGCTGCAGCTGCGCCTCTCCCTGAGACAGCAGCAGCCTCAGCTGCGGGTGCTGCTGCAGCACTCCCTGCACAATCTGCAAAGAAGCTGCTGCCAGTCCAGGCGTAGCGTAGAAGAGGCTAGTCTGCAGCAACACCCGCAGCAGCAGCAGCAGCAGCAGCCGCAGTGCTGCTCCGGCCGTCCTTCACTTGCAGCTGCTACTGCTGCTGTTACGGCTGCCGCTACGGCTGCTGCTGCTGCTGCTGCTGCTGCTGATGCTGCGAGTGTTGCTGCGGTGCAGCAAACTTCAGCTGCCTGCCCTCACCTGCAAGAGCCGCTTGATCAGTGCTGCCTTGCGCGAGTCGTTGGTGTCCTGCAGCAGCAGCCGCAGCAGCAGCAGCAGCAGCCCGCCGCGGCTGCCGGAGTGCAGGCCCGCGTGCTGCGGCTGCAGCTGTTCGTACACCACACGAGAAAGCCGGTCTGGGCTGTGGCTGCGAAGCAAAGAGCAGCAGCAGATGCAGCACCCAACGTTGCGTCAGGCCACGCAGCAGCAGCAAAAACAGCAGCAGCAGCAGCAGCAGCAGCAGCAGAAGAGCAGCAGAACCAGCAGCAGCGCCCCCCAAGACTACATCTGCAACAGAGAGTCGTTGTCGGAAGCTCTGTAAGTAGCAGCACGCGAAGCCTGGGATGCAAATGGTGACGAGCGGCAGCAGCAACAGCAGAGCAGCAGCAGCAGCGTGCTTGCTGCTTCAGGAGACATGTAAGGAAGAGCCCGCAGCAGCCCCGACAGCAGCACCCGCACAATCCTGTTGCAGCAGGAAGCAAGATACAAGGGAGGCAGCACTGCCAGCTGCTTCTTGCGAGCAGCATTTGCTGCTTCGCCTTCGTCGGCACCTGCTGCTGCTGCTGCTGCTGCTGCTGCTTTTCTGGGCCCCAGCGCTTGCTGCAGCACCGGCTGTAGAGACACCCCAAACTCCGCAAGCCGACGGAAGACTGTCAAGTAGCTGCTCACCAGCCGCGCCACAGCAGCTCCGTCTCCCCTGCAGCAGCAGCAGCTTCAGCAGCAGCAGCAGCAGCTTCAGCAACAGCAGCAGCCCGCACAGCAGCAGCAGCTTCTACAGCAGCAACAAGCAGCACCCTCCTCTGCTGAAGCCTTTGCAGCTGTGCAGCAGCGAAAAAAGCGCCAGCTGCAGCAGCAGCAGCAGCAACGCCAGGAGCAGCCCCCCACTTTCCAGCAGCATTTGCAGCTGCAGCAGCAGCAACAGCAGCAACTGCAGCAGCGCCTCACTCCGTGAAGAGAAGCTCTGAAAGGAAAAGAAGTCCCCGGTAGACGGCCTGCAGCCCTGCAGCAAACTTGGGGGGCAGCAGCAGATCGTAAGCGCGAGCTGCTGCTTCGACTTTCCGTTGCTTCTCGCTGCTGCTGCTGCCGCTGCTGCTTCTCTGCAGCAGCAGCCTCAGCAGCTCCCTGGCCCTTGCTGCAGTGCGCGAGGTAAGCAGCTTATTGGGCGCGGCGGCAGCAAGGTCGCCGTGCTGCTGCTGCTGCTGCTGCTGCTGCTGCTGCTGCTGCAGCTCGTGGCGCCGGTACTTGAAGCGCGCCGGCAGCCGCTGCTTCGAGTGTCTGTACACCGACAGCAACCCGAAGCAAGCTTCTGCTGCATGCGTTTTTCCCTGCTGCAGCACAGCAGCAAGCCGCTGCTCCACAAACTCTGCTGTGTAAGCAGCAACTACGGGCAGCATGGGCCGGTGTCTGCGCAGCACGAGCGCCAGCTGCAGCGACGCGCAAGACGCCACCTGAGACCCGCAGCAGCAGCAGCAGCAGCAGCAGCAGCAGCAGCAGCAGAAGCAGCAGCAAAGGACGCATACATAAAGCAGCAACACCGGAGGCACCAGGTGCCATGCAAAATGCACAATCAACGCTAGTGGTGTACACAAGCAGCAGCAACAAGAGCAGCAACGACAGCTGCAGCAGCAACAGCAGCAGCAGCAGCAGCAATAGCCCTTCTGCTTCTCCAATCCCCAGCATCAGCAGCAGCAGTCCGCAAAGCACCAGAGCAGGTGAGCAGCAGCAGCAGCTGTCTTCACAGCACACGAGCAGGCCAGCAGACCAGCAGCAGCAGCAGCAGCAGCAGCAGCAGCAGCAGCAGCAGCAAACCTTTCCCTCCTGAGCTGCAAGCCTTGAAACGAGGAGAGACAGCAGCTGCTGCTCCTGCTCCGGCTTTCTTATCAGCAGCTGAGCAGCAAACTTTAAGGAGCGGTTGGCGAGGGCCGAAATGCTGTCTTCAGATAGCGCCCGCAGCACCTGCAGCAGCAGCAGCAGCAGCAGCAGCAGCAGCAGCAGCAGTGGGAGCAGCAGCAGCAACACAAGAAGGTGAAAGTGGCGGCAAACGCCAACGCTCAGCAGCAACAGCAGCGGCAGCAGCAAGAAAAGTTTCACTTGAAACTTAGCAGCAAGAGTAGCGCCGCTGCGCTGCCGGACTGCTGTTGCATTGCTTCATTCAAAGCTGCTGCTGCTGCTGCTGTCGCTGCTGCTGCTGCTGCTGCTGCATGCGTACCGTTACGAAGGCGTTGTAGCGCTGCGCAAGCATCTCCTCGAAGCGCCACAGCAGCAGCAGCTGCAGCAGCGCAACTGCAGCAGCTCTGGCGGGTTCCTTTTTATTTTGCTGCTGCTTCTGGGGCTCGCGGTGTGTCTTCTGCTTCTTCTTCGGCTGCTGCTGCTGCTGCTGCTGCTGCTGCAGCTGCTGCTGCAGCAGCGGCAGCAGCTCGGTGACGCGGTCCAGCAGCCACTGCGGGTGCTGCAGCACGCCCTGCAGCTTCCTAAAGGAAGGCAGCAGCAGCGGGCCAGAGAAAAGCTCGAAAAGTTGTGCTGCTGCAGCATGTGCTTCGGATCTGCTTCTGGAAGCAGCATGCTGCAGCAGCAGCAGCAGACATTTGCTGCTGCAGATGGGCGCCTCCTGCGTCAGCAGCACCAGCGAAGACACTTCGTCTCCGCGTGTGGGGCCCTTTTGCTGCTCGCCTCTTGCTGCTGCTGCTGCTCCCTTGCGCCACGGCTTCGCTCCCGACTGCCGCTGCTGCTGCTGCTGCTGCTGCTGCTGCTGCAGCAAACCAGCATTCTTAAGCATCCAGCGATGCTCTGCGTCCGTCTCCAGCAAAGCGTGGAGCCTGTTGGTCACGTGCTGCAGCGCCCTGTCCCCCACAGCTGCCCAGAGGGGCCAGTCCACGCTGCTGCTGCTGCTGCTGCTGCTGTTGCTGCTGCTGCTGCTGCTCTGTTTGCTGCTGCAGGGAATGTGCAGCTCCATTATTGCGCTCTCTGCGCCTTTCGTTGCCGCGTGCCAGGGGCCCTTGCCCCAATTGTCTAGCCACTGCAGCACGTCTTCTTGCTGCAGCAGCTCGTCTGCTGCTGCTGCTGCTGCTGCTGCAGCGTCCGAGTGTGATGCAGCGAGAAAGGGAGTGCCTGCAGTTCCTGCAGCAGCAGCAGCAGGCTTCGCGCTGCTGCTGCTTGGACCGCTGATGAAGTTTCTTGCGCGCTGCTGCTCCTGCTGCTGCTGCTGCTGCTCCCTCTTCTGCTTTTGCTGCTGCCAGCGATCCCAGCGCCTCGCTGAAGCGTCCTTTATATGCCGCTGCTGCAGCGCCGCCTTCACCTGCTGCTGCAGCTGCTGCTGCTCATCTTTTACCGCTGCATGGTCGTCCTGCTGCTGCGGCTGCTCTTGCTGCTGATGCCGCCGTTTCTGCTGGGGAGGCTGCCGCTGTTGCTGCGGCTTCCTGTGTCCCTCGGCGTCCTGCTGCTGCTGCTGTTGCTGCTGCTGCTGCTGCTGCTGCTTGGGCTTGCTGCCGGCATCAGGCCTGCTGCTGCTGTGCTTCTTGTCGAATCTTTGCTTGGGAGGGCCCCCACGGTTGTAGGGGGCCCCTCGTTTGCCTCGGGTCCCAGGCTTCCCGCGGGCCCTGCCGTTGCTGCTGCTGCTGCTGCTGCTGTTGCTGCTGCTGCTGCTGTTAATAGGGGCACTAGAGTGGCGCTTCAGTCCCCCCGGGGGCCTTGAGCCTCCTCGTGAGGGCCTGTGCCCCGCCCTTGCAGCATTCCCTTTGCGGTGTACAGACATTGAGGTGCTGCTGCTGCAGCTGCTGCCGCTGCTGCTGCTGCTGCTGCTGCGACACCGTTCAAGAGCAATTCGTGCTCTTAAAAAAGACTTTTCTACAGCAGAAGCCCAGCTGCCACGGACTCCGTAAGAATCGATGCTGCTGCTGCTGCTGCTGCGGGGCCCCACAGTGCAGCCTCCCGGCCTCAGCTGCTCTAAATCCTTTAGGACCCCCTCCTTTTTTCAACTCCAATTATTTTTGCTGCTGCTGCAGAAGCAGAAGATGGGCAGTTCTCCCCTGCAGCAAAGCGCCGCCAGCAGGGGCCCCTTGGGCGCTGCTGCTGCTGCTGCTGCTGCTCACGCCTCCGCCGCCGACTGCTGCACTGCATTTGAACTATTCTGTCTATGTCTGGCAAATATACTGCAGCAAATATTACAGTTTTTGTTTTGTGTTGCTCAGCGACCGCAAATAGGGTGGCGGAGTCGGGAGCAGCAGCAGCAACAGCAGCGCGAGATGCAGCAACAGGAGCAGCAGCAGCAAGAGCGGCTGCAGCGGGAACGCTTAATCACCGGCTTCCCATGAAGGCTTGCGTATTTCAACTGCTGCAGCAGCAGCAGCTGCTGCTGGTGCAGCCGCACCTGCTGCAGCACTAGCAGCAGCGGCATTGCAGGCGTTTCTCACTTCAGCAGCAGGGGCCCCCCATGCATGCAAACTGCAGCACTGAGGCCCTCAAGGTGCAGCAGCAGCGCAGCTAAAACCCCCAAGGTGCAGCAGCAGCGCAGATATACCGGGGGAAGGGCCACAGCTAGCCACAGCTAGCCAGAGGAAGCAACAGCTAGCTACTACAGCTAGCCGTAGCTAACCGCAGCTATCCAAAGCTAGCCATAGCTAGCCGCAGCTAGCTATAGCTAGCCACAGCTAGCCCCAGCTAGCCACAGGGAGCCGCAGCTAGCTACAGGGAGCCACAGCTAGACGCAGCTAGCCATAGCTAGCCACAGGGAGCCAATGGGAGCCACGGCTAGCTGCAGCTAGCCACAGCTAGCCACAGCGGGCCGTGGGCATCAGCCACAGTCAGTTGCAGCTAGCCATTTCCTTTAGAGCTTCTACACTTTTATTTCTATTCTGTTTCAAACCTGTTTGCTGCTGCTGCTCTCTTTGCTTCTGTTGGTGCGCCCAGAGGCGCTGCTAGACTTCCTGCGTCTTCTGCTGCTGCTACTGCAGCGCTGCTGCAGTTCTTGCAGCGGCAGGCGATGCTGCTGCAGCTTTGCTGCCTGCTGCTGCTGCTGCTGCTGCTGCTGCTGCTGTGCCAGCCCAGCAGCGTCCACTGCCTGCCCGTCGAGCTACGCACACCTTTAAAGGTTTTATTCAAACGGGGCCCTGCCATGCACTGTTTACCTGCTGCTGCTGAATTTGCTGCAGCAGCAAAACCTGCAGGGCCTAGGACGCACCTGCTGCTGCATCTAGGGCCTTGGCTGCATCTGCAGCAGCAGCAGCAGCAGCTTACCATGCTCCGGTGCAGCAGCTGCAACCGAGCTGGGGTCATATAGAAGCAAACCTCAGAGTTATCTGCGCCTGTACGCTGCTGCTGCTGCTGCTGCTGCTGCTGCTCAAGTGCTGCTGCTGCTGCTATTTCGAGCTGCCGCCTTATGCCCCTCTTTGAAACACATGGAAGAAAAACGCGAAAAGAAGCAGCAGGGAAGCTCATATCAGCCTCATGCTGCACTTGTTAGATTTGCTTCTTCTGGCGGTGCAGTCGCTGCTGCTGTTGCTGCTGCTGTTGCTGCTGCTGCTGCTGCTGCTGCGGTTGCTGCTGCCTCGGCTTCTGTCGGTTCATCTGCTGCCATTTCCGCCGCTTCTGAAGCTACAGCCGCACGTTTACTTAAGTTCGGCTGCAGCACCTGCTGCCCTCGCTGCTGCTGCTGCTGTTGCTCTTGCTGCTGCTTCTGCTGCTCCATTTGCTGCTGCGGCTGCTGCTTTTGCTGCCTTTCCTGCTGCTCCTGCTGCTGTTCCTGCCGTTCCACCTGCTGTTGCTGCTGGATCTGCCTTTCCTGTTCCTGCTGTTTCTGCTTTTCCACCTGCTGTTGCTGCTGCATCTGCCTTCCCTGCTGCTCCTGCTGCTCCTTCTGCCGCTCGATCTGATGCTGCTGCTGCTGCTGCTGCTGCTGCTGCCTTTCTTGCTGCTCTATGCTGCGGGCCATTCGGTCGATGCTTTGAAGGTACCGATGAGCCACTTGGCCGAACCGCGCGTACACCACAGGCGCCCCCTGCAGCAGCAAAATCAGCAGCACCGAGCGCGCATCAGCAGCAGCAGCAGCAGCAGCAGCAGCAGCAAGCACAGCAGTCAGGAAGCACCTCTTTGGTGGCCCCTTCAGGCCGGAGAGTCGCATGCGTCTGATGCTTCAACACTACAGCAGCAGCAGCAGCTGCAGCAAGGCAGCCTCAAGCTGGCAGCAGCAGCAGCAACAGCAGGCTAAACCAAAATGGCGAGAACAGCAGCAGCAACAGCGGCAACACCAACACTAGCTGCAGCAACAGCTGCAGTAACAACTGCAAATGCAACGTTGGATCGAGCACTGGCAGCAGCAACACTTGCTGCAGCAGCTGCAGCAACAGCAGCAGCAACAGCTGGAAAAACAGCAGTGAACTCTACCTCGGAGCTGAAATCTCTCGGAGACTCCCCACTTCTGCCTGTTGCAAGAAAAGCTCGGGCAACACCAACACTAGCTGCAGCAACAGCTGCAGTAACAACTGCAAATGCAACGTTGGATCGAGCACTGGCAGCAGCAACACTTGCTGCAGCAGCTGCAGCAACAGCAGCAGCAACAGCTGGAAAAACAGCAGTGAACTCTACCTCGGAGCTGAAATCTCTCGGAGACTCCCCACTTCTGCCTGTTGCAAGAAAAGCACAAGTGCAGCAGCAGCAGCAGCAGTTCGAGAGAGAGCCAACAGCAGCGCAGCAACAGCATGCAGCAGCGGCAGGCAGCAAGCAGCAGCACAAGCAGCACCAAGAACACATCCAGCAGCAGTGGGAGCAGAGGCAGCACCCAGCAGCAACAGCAGCCGCCGTAGCAGCAACAGCAGCAACAGCAAGAACAAAAGCAGCAGCAACAGCAAGAACAAAAGCAGCAGCAACAGCAGCAGCAACAGCAGCAGCAGCAGCAGGTTCCACCCCACCAAATGAGCCGCGTCCTGACAGCCTCCTCACAGTGTCCTGCGGGCTCAAGTCCTCCTCCGGGCTTTCCTGTAATGATGAAGGGGACGTGTTGGAGGCTGCTGCTGCTGCTGCTGCTGCTGCTGCTGCTGCTGTGTCTGTCTCTGTGTCTGTGTGCGAATTCGCAGAGCCGTGCAGCTGCGCCTCTGCGGGGTACTGGGGCTGCCCCGCAGCGCCGCTGCCGCAGCCAGTGAGCAGCAGCCAGTCGTCAGCAGCAGCAGCAACAGCAGCAGACTGCAGCGGCAGCACTCCCATGTCTTCTGACAAGTCGAAAATGTCGCAAGTTGGCTGCCGCCCGGGGGGCCCCCCAACCCCAGGGGCCCCGGGGGCCCCCCGGGGGCCCCCCGGGGACTCTTCGCGGTCCAGGTGGTAAATTTCTACTGGGAAAGTTTCTTGAAGGCTCTGCGGCGAACAGCAGAAGCAGCAGCAGCAGCAG